ACAAAAACATTATTTAAAATAATCATTATTTAAAAAAACCAGTTTTTTTATCTACTCTAATTTTAATATATATTTAATTTACATGGAAGATCAATTTCAAACGCATTCAAGATTCATATCTTTTGTATTTTATGATTTTTTTTAACAATATAATAGCATATAACGACATATTATTTTTTAAGCGTCGACTTAATCGCACTTATGCTTGTCCTTTCCGCAAAGTATATACTCGTCGCGTATGAGAGAATTAATGAGGCTTTATGCCAGCGGTTATCGCTAAATCACTGTTAGCACGATTTTAACAAACGTCAGTCACAAGAAATCGAACGCTATCTTGTCCTGAGGCGGTGTAACATGAAGGGTCCGCCAACAGAACCAGTCTCTTGGCATGGTGCCGTCAGCGGGGGGTTCACCGTGTAAATTGATTTGCGTTCACACCCCAGTGGATCCGCAGGGCACGAGACTAGTACCCTCCTGCGAGGACCCCTCTCCTGTATTCATCCTTCAGAAGCACATCATACATTTATTTACGCATCTCTCTGTTCTACGAGCAGCTGGCATTGTTCGCCTCATTGAATTACCGGAAGCATGTGCTACTGGTTATCACGCCCGTCGATCGTCCTGCTTTATGTTGTCGGATGCACGTCGTGGATGCGCTGAATGTGCATTGTTTATTGCTAATATCGTCAGCAAAGCGACAGACTCGTAACCCTTTAATTAATAAGCCTCCATTAAACTATCTTTCTGATATAATATGCTGTTATGAATACTAAGAGGGGATAAACGACGATTAAACTTAACACAGAATGTCCTCGTATAAGTGACCATCCCTCTTTATCTTGTAACAGAGATAGCTCTAATAAATATGTTCTCAAATTGAACGGCTTTAACTAAACTTTATTGTAAGCACAATGATTACTGAAAAAAATTATTTATGTTAGAAAACGGAGAGATGTGCATAACTTTTGCACAATAAATAAATATTTTGTTATAATAAAAGTGTCCGTTCTAATAAGTATAACGATATATGATGTAACAAAATTATTTAACAAATTATATAAGTTATTTTGATTTGAAGTTTTGCGGGTGTTTACTATCTTTTTTCGATCCTGCAATGTGGCCAATTTCCGACTCTCGCATTATGATTGATGTAATAACATAAGATTTGTTCACATCGCATGCTCCAATTTTCATACCAATATAATCCAACATGCTCTTATCATAGCTTTCACTCAACGAGCGCGTTGAAGAAAATAGCTATGACAGGAGTGTATTAGAGCATACGTATTGGAGAATACGAATAAAGAATGCGAACAAACCTGTTATCAGTATGTATTTTTCGAACTGAAAAATAATAATTGCCCGCAAAATTTTAACCCAAAATATCTTATATAATTTCTAAAATAATTTTGTTATACCATATTGTTGTAATAGATACTACAATTCGTTAGAATAGATACTACAATTTTATTATATCAAGTATTTATTTTATATATCAAGTATTTATTTTTATACAAAAATTATTATACAAATTTCTCTATTTTACATAAATAACTTTTTTCAATAGTCACTTTGCTTACAATAAAGTTTAATTAGAGTCATTTAATTTAAGACCATACTTATCAAGTCTATCTTTATTAATTTGCGAGGTAAAAAGAGTTACTTTTATTACTTATACGAGAACATTGTATAATACATTGGAAAAGATTATAATAATTAATGCAAAGAAATTTATTACTACTAAAGAGCATAAAAATAAGAATTAATCATTTTTTATTTAATCTGTTCCGAAAAGTACAGAATTATGTTACTTTATACTACTTATTATTTAATCTTTAAAAAATTCATATAGAATATTTTATATTTGATAAATTCGTATAATTCTTTTTATTTAAATTTTTGTTTTTTTCTGATGAAAATAATGATTCTAAGCTTGCATGGCATCAAATTCTAATAAATTTGTCATCCTTCGCAAAATTCAATCCTTGACGACAACGTTTCATCAACAATCGTCGTAGCTCCGTAGCTTTTGTCCCTCGCGGAAAGTTGAAGAAATTCGGACGCACTTGTCGGAAATCCGGGGTGCGCACTCTTCGGGACGTGGTGCTAAATTCGATTACTTTCATTGTTGAGATAACTCAGTTATCCCTCCGAGCTGACTAACGTAAAGAGGCGACTGTCCGGGGTCACGTACCTTCTTCTTATCCCTCTTAATCTCGTCCAATTCAACGACAGTCCCTGCCATTTCGTTATCAAACCTTAAAGGAGTCCTATTTTCCTTCCCTTGTTATACACAGCATGGATGAAACCTCTGTGATTTAAAACCGAAAATCTTTACGCAATCCAGGTTAAAACCCTAACATCATCATAATCTTTTTTTGTTCTTAACTATCTGCGATATAAAAGATTTCAAATATTTTAAGACAAATAAGTTTCCGGGAAAAAATAGCCTATGTATATATAAAATCATACATAAATACGTATAATTGTATAAGTAATATTAAGATAGAAACACAGGATTTATATGAATAAATCAACTAATATAGTACAAAAACTCCAGTTGCGGGAAATTAGATGTTGGAATAATACGTCATTATGTAATTAAATAATTTTTATCTCAGATAAAAAAGTAGTTTCATAATTTTTGATACGTTAAATCCAAAATTGTAAGTGAAACTTCTATCACGTCTAGGCTTTTGAAAAAACTGAAATTAGAATGTTTAAAAACGCATTTTTTTTGTTATCCTTGAAAATTAGCTGATGGATCCGATCTGAAAAATTTTTTAAATGATTCAAATTAATGATTAGACATTATACTATAACATAAAAATATCGAATCTTTTACCAGGCCAGTGTTGAATCTCTGGCTCATTTTATTTTTAGGAGTGCATTGGTGTCATCGCACAAGTTTTAATAATGTATACATGTCAGCTTCCAAATTTATATTTAAATTAATTTATATTTAAAATATACATATAAAATTACATTTTTATACACACATATACACACATGTATTTGTGTTGTGTGCGTGCACGCGCGCACGTGTGTGTGTGTGTGTGTGTGTGTGTATGTGTGTATAATTCATGTATTTTTTTAATTAATATTATTATGAATAATAGTATCTTATAATATTAGTAACAAAATACTTTTAAACATAATAAATGACATAGGTTAAAAACTTTTCTCAGGACTAAACTCCTGAGAAGGGATGAAGTGAGGAGTAGAAATGGCATGAATACCGACACATTTCAATTTCAAGTTAAAAGTACCCTGTCGTACTCCTGTAACTCGTTATGCAATCGTTATGAACATATAATGTAGCATAACAGAATACAAATCCAGGAGTACAGCTCTGATATACATCCGATTCTGCAAACCGAGCGCCGAAATCCTTTTCCATATTCCGTGTGGACACCTTCACCATTCAATCATCAATATTTTTTGTCAATATTCAATGCAATAACCAATAAGTAGTAAAAAAAATACCGTTTTTTTATGGAGACGTGTTTGTAAATATGTATAATTTGAAGCAGATCGATGAAAATAAATCCAATTGAAATAAGAGAAATCCTATTCTTGAGTTAAAGCAGATCTCAGTAGTTAAACATTTCTGTGTGAATTTTTATACGCATCTGATCAGACATCTAATTCTGTAAACTGCGCATCAAATTCTTTTTCAGTGAAAATATTAATTTAATTATAATATATTACATAAAATAATATTAGATATCTTATAAACTGTTAATTTTTTGATAATCGTACCTTAATATATTTATAAACAGAATAATAAGAGGAATCAATTGGTGTAAAGAAAATATATAGTTGCTTAAAAAAAATATGAGTAAGTAAAATGGATACTTTTTTAAATGAGCAACTATGTATTCTTTTTACACTAATTGATTTATATATCTCGTTATTCTATTTATAAAATTATTTATTAAAAATTCTATTTTTAATCTATTTATTAAAAAATTATTATAAAAAATCAAAGTTTATGAAATATTTAACATTTTATGTACCAGAATAAAATATAAATTACTTTGAATTGGTTTTTTTAATATTTCTACCTTAATGCTTTATTAAACACACAATCAGTAAAACCAGGTAAACACCGCGACGTCGATCTCTACGGATCAGCATCGGACTTTTTGATTTATGCCATGCCGATCTCAAAAAATTTTTTAAAATATTTCATAGATCTGCTTTAGAGAACGTAACTGTATCTTTTGACTGACGTACGTTAATCATCTCGAACATCACTTTGCCGTTTGTTCTTTCCTTTACTTCGCACACCGTAATATCTCTTCTCTCCACTCAACGGTATTGTGCGGCGTAAGTTAAACGAAATAGGCTTGGCGTTTAACGTGTTAATAATATGCAAAATAATTAGAGGAATTATATTATGTAAAGAATTATAATTCCGTTTCAAAAAATGGAGATGGCCTTCATATCTTTTTAAGGCCTTCATGTGAAAGAAAAACAGTGTAATCAGAATACGTCCTCTTTGAAACCATTCCACTTTTGTTGTATGTGTTGTATATGCGTGCATTAATGCGGCGTGTGTGTGTGTGTGTGTGTGTGTGTGTGTGTGTGTGTGTGTGTGTGTGTGTCTGAAACGTTTTTTTCTCTAAAATCTCATAATTTCCAGAAATTGGCTGTTTTAATTAAAATGAAATATCCTATATGTAATTATAATTGTATAAATTATGTCTAATTATATATGGACATATGTATATATATATATATATATAT